GACCTCACCCCGGAGGTCCTCCCGAGCAGATATCACTAAAGCAAGGCCCTCTCACCCACCTGCACCTCCACAAAGGGCAGGGAGGCCACAGCACCCATCGCTGTGCTCCGTGCACCAGGCTGCTTCCTGACTGCTCATGCAGAGGGGACGAAAGAAAGGATGGTCTCAGCACATCCTCTCCTGCTCTGATGCATGCTCCTCCTTAACACTAAAAAAAAAAAAATTAAAAAAAATCTCACTGCCCCCATCCTCCTCCTGCTAGGCAAAGCTGTACAATGGCTCGGGTTGTTTTTGATGTACTTTAAAAGACCATACACTTACATTTAATTAAAAGTATCTACATAGGAATGAAATTAATTAATTCTCCTTCTACCCAAGAGCCCTCTCATTGTGTTCACTTAAATGAGGTTTTTAAATGTTGTCTCTGCCATATCTGGACTAGTTCTCTCCAGACAACACTTGGGCCATTATTTGAGCTCATGCTATGCCACCCAGGCTCTCTTAAAAGAAAACAAAGTGTGTAGGGCCATCCCACGGTCTGCTCTGGAGGATACTGAGCATGAAGCTTAGAACACAAATGAATCGAGTTTGGGAGATCTGAGATGCACAAAGAGGATCTGCTCAGCCCACCCGCAGCCCTTGTAGCCTGGGATGCTGACAGCCTCCGCTCACCACACGCAGCCCGAAATGCTTGACCCGCTGTCGGCACAAACAAGAGGACGCCGCGCGTTTGAAGCTTTGCGAGGTCAGAAGGCTGCAGCAAGCGGGCGTGCTGAGGATGAAGACCTGATGTGCAAGGAGAGAGCTGCAAAAGGCTTCAAAGCCCGGCGCGAAGCCCTGCAGGGGAAGTGCTGCAGCCCAGACAGGGCTGCGCTGCCCCGCGGGAGAGATCAGGATCGGTGCGAGGAGCCCTGCAGGGGTGCTGAGGCTGCATCCAGCTGCCAACCAGTGCCTTCACCCCAGCCCCGGCCGCTAAATGCGATGCAAATCGGTAACTCAACAGCCTGGAAAACACCCGCTCTTCAAACTGCCATTTTTCTGCGATGCCTGTCCATTTCTCCACGCAGGTCAATCGCAAAGACTTTCAACAGTGACAGCTGACAGGAGAACTTAGCATTTAACCCTCCGAAATGAAAGGAAAGGAACAAAGCAGAAGAACAAGCTCTCCACATTTGGACAGGGAGGATGCAGAGAGGTGACCTAAAACAGCGCTACAGGAACGGACCCGGCTATTACACACGAGGGGTAACACACCGCTTCTTCAAGCCCTTGCTCTTCTTTGTGTCCAACTTTTCACCTGGCAGAGGAAATATATTCCTTCTAATTTAATTTCAGGTCGAGACCAGGGCACGCTGCACTCCTGAGCGAGCACTGCTTCCCGTGGACACCAAAGTGGGAAGAAAGTTATCTGTGTTACTGCCAGCAGCGAGGCAGGGGTTAGCCCCCAGCAGGAGCAGTCCCAGGGCTTGCCTTACTATTTGTGGCACCCAGCCTGGGGCAGTTTTCCCAGCGGGGCACTGCAGATGGAGAGAGTGAAGGCAGCAGAGGGGAAACCCCCCCGGCACCACAGTAGCTCAGAGCCACCCCAAGGCAGAGCTGCTGGCGAGCTGCAGAGCCCACAGAAGACCAGAGCCAGGCGTGGAGTGCTTTGCCTTGGGTTCAGTAATAAAAGCACAAGTCCACGGGTTACCAGGGGATCAGGAGAAAGGAAGAAATACCCCACAAATGGCACACCAGAACCACCTCCAGCTCGTCTGCCTTCAGGCAGCAGCACTGAGCCACCTGCATAAGCTGCGCTATGATTTACGCCGTGCCTGAAGCCATGTAAAACTGATGTCCTGATGTCTCTCTGCTCTGACTTGGGTGTTTAGGAACCACAGAAGATGGGATGAACACGCAGTGCGTTATGGTGTGACCTGCTCCTGCAAAGCCTTGCAGGGAAAGGGTCGTGGATGCCATCAAGTCCCACCTCTCTTCGACGCAACAGCCTTCCCCTTTCCCCTCACCGATTGCTTCATTTATTTCTCTTTTCTTCAAGCTGCCAATCTTCCCATTGATACGTGAGCTCCAGGCTCCTGCAGCCAAAGATTAATTGATGGGGGAACAAGAGATTTCTCCTCCCAAACAATGAGCTTCTCAGGCAGTTTCAACGGTACACCAATTAGGCTATTTACATTTTCAGTTAAATGTAAGTCACCCGGAGATTCCCCGAGGCTCATAAAGGTGATCAGAGTAATCTTCAAGATCTGTGCCAAAAGCAGGGAGCCAAACTTTGTTGGCTGAAAGGAAGGGACTACTCATACCACCGGGTTGTGGCCTGGAGAAACCGTGCACCTGGGTGGCACCCGAGGCAGTCCAGGCAGCCACAACGCCCTGATGGGGCAATACTGCTACTTGCGCACTGGTTGGGTTATATCACAAAGCAAAAAAACACATCTGTAACAGTTACCTGTTCAGAAAACGTCCCGTGCTGCTTGGGTTGTACCCACATCCTGTCCTCTCCCCCTCCTTTCATCTCCCACAGCACCCGGCCAGGGCTGTGTGCCTTGCAGAAGACGCCCCCCACTCGGACCTGTGCCCACGGGTGGGTGCCTGTGGCACTGCTGCGACCTTGCTGGGGAGCCCCACTCCTCCTTGCAGACAATCGCACGGCTTCCCCAGGCTGCTCCCGTTTTAAAACAACACATTTGCATCACGCTTCCAGAGGCAGTTTATATTTCACCTGAGTTTCCGATGATAAATCCTTATCAAGAACGCCCATGGCAAGTCTATGGTGACTTTGTTCATTCTTATTAGCTCTGCGCAGATTAGCTCTTCACAGTGCTTAGCCAGTTTATACAGATTTCTGATAAATGTTTTGACAGATTTTCCTGACTTTGGGAAAAAAAAAATATGGGGGGAGGGAGAATCTTTGCCTTTCCACACTTCAGATACTGTTAATACATGAAATATTCATTGCCTTTCTACAGTGCACGGTCTACAAACCAGTAAACACTTCTACATCCCCAATTCATAATCGTTCCTTCCAAGTCCCTATGCTTGTAGCAGCCTCTGGGTCTTGCTTCATCCCCCAACACACAGGGCAACAAGTCCTCTGTAGGATGTTTCTCTGTGCGCTCTTCTTGGAGTTCCTTTGCACTCCAAGAACCAGAGGCTATTGGGGGAATCCTAAAAACAGATCTTGGATGTCTAGGGAACACTTTTCTCCTTCAAATTTACATCTCTGCAGCACCTCTAGTAAATTCTGTAGACCCCTGTTACCTTTAGTGCTGTCTCTCCCCCGTAATACTGATCTTTTATTCAGCTGAATTCTAAGTGAAAGCTTTTTACATAGTGAAGATGACAATGAGAGCACTGGGTATTTCACCTTGGAGTCAGATATTGGGACTTTCAAAGCTCTGAACTTTTTTTTGTTTTTTTTTTGGAAACCCAGAATCCTTGCCTGCCACCCACAGGCTCATACTGGACAAGACCCCCACTCCAGACAGGCTGGAGGAAGCCGTGGCTGTACTGATAGCGATGTGGGCTTTTGAGTTAAAGCTTCTCTGATATCCTAATCTTTCACTGCAAAAAACATGGTTATGCAAATAGAGGAGTGTCACAGCCTGACCCAGGCCATGGATTGCAATCTTCCTGTCCTCTCCCGATACTGTGGCTGAGGATGGAAATTTCCAACATCCCCTTCATGCAACCATTTACTTTCTGCCAGATTTATCTTCCTGCTATTAGCCTTCAGAGCTCTGATTTGTTTGCCTGTCATTTGGACAAATGTTGACGGGCAGAAACAAGCAGGGCTTTTTTTTTTCTACCCCTCCCTCCCCCCCCCTCCAGAATCCAGCTCCAGCAAGAACATCAAGAAAAAAGGATGAACAAGTGACCCATAAAATAAATACAAGGCTTACAGTTTCTGATAAAGATTAAATATTGTAGGAGTCATTTCAAATGACTAGATAAAAGCCAGGGGAAGGAAAAGCCTTAGACCTCGACAGAGTAGGGGAAAAAAAATAAAAACACATACAGAAAAAGATGCCTTTTAAGCTTTATGTGGTGTTTGATAACCTGAATAAGTTTTGCTCCAAGCAGACCAGCCTTGCAACTGCATCTCAAATATGTCCCTGAGAAATCTTGGGGGAAAAAAAAATTAAAAAAAAATCAAGAAGCTGAACACTAACACTGGTATTATGCTGACCTGGGAGATGTCAGCTTTCTGCCTACTCAGCTGCAGCCTAGAGATAACCCACAGCTCCTCTGAACTCAAGCAGCATCCCCAGCACCCGCAGACCATGGGGGACTCTGAGCCAGGCCTGCCATCAGGCTGTTTCGCTCACCTATGCATAAACAAGAAGGCAGTGCTTGGGAGGAGGAAATCCATGTTACAGATCGTCTCTCTGCTCCCGAACCAGCCAAGAGCTCTGCATGAGAGGGGCTGGGACACCCCCAGGCTGCTGGAGGATCGCCCGTACTGCTGTGGGTGCTGCTGTGAGGCTGCCACACGGTTTCAGGCAAGCTCTGTTTATGCTAAGGCAAGATGAGAGCGCTTGTACTGCTTGACCATAGGAGCATGTACAGAACATACGAGACACACTGCTAAAATATTCTTTTATGTCCAGGTTAGAGAATTCTGGTTTAGAGAGCATTTTGTCCCACACTGTCCGGAGCAGGCATCCTTGCTCTTCCTAGTCCCCACCTGCAACTCACTTCAGCTAACCATTAGTTTTGACAAGACACCTATAGACAAATAACTGTAATTTGTAAGTGCTACAAGCGGGCTGAGTTAGATGGGTGTGAACGCATTCATTTCTGTGGCTCTGTGTACTAAACAAGCCTTTCAAACCTCGCAGCCTTTTGACCAACGTGCCCACTACAAGGAAGCTGAATGCGAGCGTGCTACTCAGACAACACCCACCACACGTAAAACGCAGGTTTCACAGTAAAACCATGGCAATACCCACAGCCCCCAAGAAAGGCACATCCAGATGCACCCCCAAAGCCCCCCTTACCTGCAGAGCAGTCCCAAACAGCCACACCACCAGCCCAGTACAGAGGGCAATAACACCCACAGCTGGCTGCAGGCACACAGGCTGGTGCTGAGTGTTCTCAGATGGGGCAGAGAAGTGGCCACAGCTGGGAGCACAGGTGGGGTGGGAGGGCAGTGCCCAGCATCCCCAGTATGCTGGGGGCTGCCAGTTACAGCAGTGACACTGGGCTGCTCGGGGTGAGTGGGGATGGTGGTGGGGCACAGAGGAAGAGCGGTCAGGGGCTGCCAGGGCTGGGGTGGGGGCTCCTGGGGACAGGTTCTGCCTGAGCAGCCTTGGAAGGGTCAGAGCGAGTCTGGGCGCTTGGGAACAAACCCATGAGGTTTGGTGAAACCATCCCCACCTCCTGCCTTGCTGTGGGCTGCAGGAGGCTTCGTGCCAATGCTGGCAGCATGGCCCAGGCACCGCACGCCTGCTCCAGCCAGCCGAGGGCTGGGGAGCCTGCTCTTGGCACAGGGGAAAGCCTTGCTCGACAGCAGCCTGCTGGCTGTGGTGTGAGCAAAGCAGGTAGTCTCCCAAAGCACCGAGGTGTTTGCCTGGACAACGACGCTGGGAAGTCTCTGCCCTCCGGTTAGCTTCTCTCCCCCTCCCTCTCTCCGAAGGATCAGGTGCAGTCGGGTCTCTCCATCCAAGCAGACAAGCAATTGGGCAAACACAAGGCAGAGAGTTAAAACGGCGGCACAGAGAGAATTGGAGCTGCACTCGGCAGCAAATTAGACATTTAAAAACTGAGGAGAGTGACTGCTGAAGATTAAATGCATTATAGATTTGCTGGAGGAGAGGCGAGTGAAAGAAAAGGTGGATCATTGACACCCCTCAGGCACCAGGCTGAAGATTTGTTTACGTACCAGTGTGTAATCAAGTAGGAATGAATGCAAGACACGGGGCCTTAATTTTTCATTTGCAATCAAGGCCACGTACACCTTTTCTTAGTCACAGAAAAACACTGCCACTCTCCTTGCTCCTTCTTAACAGCAGCATTACCCAGAGCAGGGAAAATCAGCCAGGCGTGGGGGGCCGGTTATGCCCCAGGGCAGCTGCATGGGGCTGCAGCCTGGGCATGGGGGGGTTGGGATGTGGCTTGAGGTGTTCTCCTGCTTTCTGACACCAAAAAAATCCCAGCTGACACAAAGTCTCACATGTGAAGCGTGGCTCTGCTAGACTTGTTGAAAGGACTCCGGTAAGTGTTGATGCCAGGGTCCGGGCTGGGAGGTGTAGAACAGCCTGAAACATGCGAAAGCTGGATCATGACATTGGTAAGAGGGCACGTTGGAAGAAACAGAAGGAGATTGGACACCAGCTTTTGCTATAATTGTAGGGATGCGCCCTCAGCTCCTGAGGCTGCCTCTGAGATAAGTGGCTGAGCAGCTCCTGTTTCTTATGAATGAGGCAAAATACCTGGACCCTGTCTTTATGTAGTGATAACAGCAGCACTCATGTTGCCTGCTGCTGAAGTCATTCAGATGACCAAGAATCAGGATTCAGAGGTTTCACTGATCTCAAAATAGAAAGGCCTGGGAAGACTCAGAAAAAGACTCCCAAACCTCTTGGAGTGTCCTTTAAACCTGCCAATGATGAGCTGTGGTCTTCTGCAAGTAGTCTGCTGCTCCTGAAGATCGCTGGCTTTCACAAGGCTGGATGGAGGGGATGGTTCATCTAGAGCAAGGCAAGAGATGCTCCAGGCACCCCATCCCTGCCTGCTGTGCCCACCGAGCACCCTGCCCGAGGCCATCCTGGGGAGCACAGGGACCAGGGCTGGGGAAGAGAGGATGGAAAATACAAAGCAGCAGAGAGGCGATGGCAGTGGAAAGAGCAAGAATGCAAGGGAGCAGGGAAGGCAGGCGTGTGCAGGACTGCAGGCTGGAGATCACCTTCCCTCCTCATTGCTATTCCTGTGCCGCTGCCATCTCGAGGAGCTGCCGCCAGCCTGCCGGCTCGGCGCAGACACGAGCAGGGCGGCAAGGTGCCGGCCCCGGGGGAGGCTGCCGAGCTGAGTACAGAGGAGAGAGGAGGGCGTGTGATCAAATATTCCTTTTACTCCTGGCAGTCTTCATATCTCGGGTTGCTTGTTTCATGTGCGCTGCTCCAGGTGCTCTCCGCGGGCGAGGTGACACCGGTGCTTGTTGCAGCAAGGAGGCGGTGGCACCAGCTGTATGAGGGGGACAGAGCTGCCGTGCCTGGAGGAAAGGGGACAGCAGCCCTGGGGGAAGTCCTGGTGGGACACTTAGCCCAGGGTACCATGGTGGTGGATGTACACCCCAAATACAAACTGCTCATCAGCAGCCATCAACACCCAGTCACACAGGCAGAGAGCCAAAGGCTGCAAGGGAATCCTGCTCATCCCAAAGGATGCTGAGAGCAAGCACTCGGAGGAAAGGCGAAGGACAACACTGTTACTGGTGGGACACGAAGCAAGTCTTTATTTAAGTAATTCAAAGGAAAACAGGATTTCCAGAAAGCAATCGTGGCTATAACGGAGCGCCTCCAAACAGCCAGCAGAACTTTAAAATAGCTCCTGCTCTGACCAGGCACTTCAAGTCTCAGGATCTTTTTAAACACCAGGGACTCCTTCCCTCTTTGTACTCAGAGACGTCTAAAATGTTCCTGATTTCAGAGGGAGCGAAATGGAAGTGGAACAGACAGACGGCAGTCCAGCAGAGTACTGACGGGCACGAGGAGCCTCTGTGACTACTTAGCTATTAAAGTGGAGCAGGGGCTTTCCTGCTCCTGGGGCCAGGGCACAGGACCCCTCCAGCAGCTCTGCAAAGCACTGAGCTGGGAAGGAGCAGGGGGCAGGCAGGAGCGGGTCTGCTCCTAGCACAGCCCTAGGACAGGGAGGAAGGCTCACGCGGGGCCGAACACCCTGATTGCTCTGAAGGCACACAATCCCCTCCTTATCTGGAGGTCAGAGTTTCCCCAGACTAAACCCAGGCTGTCAAGCACTGATAGATCCTGCCTGCCTTTGATTTTCTCCCACTGATGGTTGAGGAAATCCTGAACTGTACCCATCCCTATCCTTTCTATCTACATTCAGTATCCCTCTTGTGCCTGTACTCCTCTACACCCATGGCTTGCAGCGCTCCGGCTGCCATCCTGCAGAACGGGGTAAGAAATAAGAGGGAGGGAGCAGGGGTTGTGTGGCAGATAGGCAGACACACCGGTTAAAACGGGTATTAATTTAGCTAGGCCTGGCTGACAGGGAGAACGGATGGCGAGCCCTGCAGTCAGCGTCTGTCTGTCCGCACGGGCACGGCGCTGACAAGTTCTTCGGAGCAGAAAGGATTCGATCAGCCTGGCCATGTCCTGGCAGGCAGCGTGGCGAGGCAATTAGTGGGAGTGAAATGGCATAACGAAGGGGACGGGGCGGCTGAGGATAGGACCTTACAGGGGACAGGACCACATCCTGGCCGCACTGAGCGCAAGGGGTCCGTGCCAGCAGCGTGTACACGGGAAGGGCTCTGCTCCTGTTTCTCACATTTTTTTTTTTGTTTGCCTTCCTCAGTGCGAGGACAGTCCTGCACCAAGCACCCGCCTGTCCAAACTGGAAGCCATCACCCGCTGTTGAGCTGCCCCCTTTGTTTAACCAAAGCTTGCCAAGGAGCAGTCTGCAAGACAGCAGCAGGGCACGCAGAGCTTTGCCCATCTGCAGAATTACTTTTCCCGTTCTTTCCCTACAAGCATCATTTAAAAACCCACCATCCTGCTACCTGTATATTCACGTTTTTCCAGGAAAGACCTTCAACGTGGAGTAGGAAATGTCTCCATGAGTGTTCCTTGAAATAGGACGAAGCTAGTTTAAACTTTTATTGGCCATTAGACTTAAATTATTTTCTCTGTTTTACTAACTCCCATGTTTAAATATTAGCCTGAGCGTTGCTTTTTAGTTGGAATTTGTTTTTCCCCCTTCACCGAAATTATATGTCCAGATACGGTAGGGTTCATTTAAAATCTGAAGAGGATAATGTGTGCAAGGGAGATAATCTTCTGCAAATGGTTGGCAAATTGGAACTACCAGAATTATGGTCTCGTACAGTGCGGAGGACTGAATTGCTCTGCCTAGGCTCACAGGATTCAACTAAAGCTCATTTCCACTCGTATACTGTAAATATTGTCTACATGCTGTGTTTACAGCCCTCTGCTTTCCTGCTCGCTGACCTTTCCCTTTAACCTCACCTTTTCCTCTTTCTGGCCCACCCGAGGGATGCTGCCGTGTGTGACAGGTACAAGTTGGGGTTCTCAGGGGCTGTGCAGTGCTCTGAGCAGCTGATCCGGAGTCACGCAGAGCTCTCCTGTCACTGAAGCATGCATGGAGATGAGGCATCGTGCTTGGAGGAATTTTTCACTTACCGGTGGGAGTCCACACACGGTCAGGATGTGCAGAGCAAAGCTGCTGTGCCCACATCTTAGCATCCCTCGGGGCTGCAGCTGAGCTCGGGCTTCTGCAGGAAAACAGCCAGAAAGGTTGAGCGAGGTCCACCAGCACCAGCAGGACCTCCCATACCGCTCGCTCTGCACTCGAAGCCCAGAGGCCAGCCCCTTCTCCTATTCCTGAACAGCTCCGAGCCCTGGAAAGTCCCCCTGCAGCTGGTCCTGTAGGTCAGCACAGCTCAGCGTTGGCCCCGTGAATGTCACCTCCTTGTCCCTGTCCTCTTGAGGCAGAGGCAGTGTCCTTGCTGCTGCAATGGGCTCCTGCCCACGCCTGGAGCCCCAGAAGGGCCTTTCTTGCCTCGCAACCCCATGTAATTTTGGGGGCAGCAGGTTAATGCAGCACTGTGTACTTCCTTAGACTCTTGCAACAGGGCAGCCTCATCTGCTGGAGCACGGCTCCAGCCCAGTCCTTGCTGCTGCTCCTCTAAATGCAGGGCTGGAAGAGCTCCTCACACTGCAAGCAGCAGTGACCTCCTGAACAGGGTAATGCAGAGTCAGCCCATAAACACACGGCTGCTCCATTTGTTACTGAAATTGCACCGGGGCACGGGCAGTGAGAGTTCCTCCGCTATTTGGGAATTATTAATTTGTTGTTGTTGTATGATTATTGCAAACCAAAGCTCCTCCATAGC